GTCATTAGCACCTCTAGTAATATATTTACTGAGAAAAATGTTGATGTGTTCAATACTTTTTTTACCCGCTGTTCATGCAAACTCACATTTAACTGTTTCTTACTAACATGTAAAATTTAGGCAACATACTGCAAAAAAATGTGACTTTTGTCCAAACAGAACATGAAGAATAGTTTCTTATTTCTGTTTGTTTCAATGGTTCATTTGAAATTCCTACATTTGAAATCCTGCTGACTCAGAGACGCGTGAAACCAGTGCTGCCGAGGCAATGGAGGACACAATGGGTCCAGTTTCTGAGTGTAAAAATGATGTTAGCAGCATCATTGCTAACACGGGCTAATGTTCAAAGTAGTAAACTTCCATCACAGTGTTCGCTAGTCCAACCTCTGACTCGGTGCAGGGGCGTGTCTCTGAGTGAGACACGGGAATTGTCACATAAACATGTATCAAGCTGTACCATTTTAACCAATAGGAAAATTCACCTGCAGTAGCCACCGTTCCACCAATAGAGAGCAGCACCAAGACCTTTATAGATCAAATATTACGGAATTGAACAAATGTCCAAATTTGTGCTGAAATATAAAAGATAACACACTTAACACCTAATTTAAACAGTTGATCTACAACCAAAGTTTATTTGGGGTTTAGTTACACTTWAAAGAGATTGAGGCCACATTCAAGGCGTTTTATAGACTATGATGCAAAGTCAAATTTCTTTTTGATATATTCAGCATGTTCATGAAACGAAGGTAACGGCTGGTTGATTGTGGTATGGAATTGAATTTGAGTTCCTGTTTGGGATAGTATAATTTACTACARTTGACATGCTCTCACATCTCCCCCATTTAAAACCCGTTCCCATGGCTTTGGCCCCAGATAGATCTTGTTTGGAACTAGAATATATGAAAATATGCTTATTTGTAAGAGCTATTATGTCTATTCAAATATACAGTATGWGAAGAATGTAGTGACTGATTTAGGAAGGACGTATAAAGAAAAAAAATTCAACTTTCATTACCCAAAAARATTAGATGTGAAAGTTGTGTTGAGTGTTTCAATAAATTTCCCACATATAGTACTTTTTATGTTTGATTAATAACACAATTTAGTAACTCCTGAACAACAAAAGTTAAAACAGTCTTTACTTATAAAGCAAAGTCAAGCCAAATGGAAGCTGGAATTTATTTACACTCTTTTTTTAAACATAACTCAAAATATTGTCTTGGAAGTCAACGTTTTAGTTGCTGCTGAAGCAATTTATGCACGCAGTATGCGTAAAAACCCAAACTAAATAACTAAAACTGCATGGATGTTTGACACTAAATGAAAAATCAGAGCTCAAATCAAGATTAATCAGTGTGATGAATGAACCTGAAACAGTGAACTGGTGGAAGTGATGCAAACAGACTTACAAACAGATCCACAGAGCTCAGCTTTCAGACGCTTAGAGGAGGTCATTGGTTTGTGTGAATGTGTGGATGTGTGTTTGCGGTACTACTTTATTCTGCGAGCACATTGTCAACACAGCGTGTTGTTTTTGCAGTTGCTTCGTGCTCACGATATTGTCACTGTGTCCGTCGTCCGGATTCTCCACGGGGGTGAGCTTGGCCGCTGCGTCTGTCGTATCCAATAGATGCCCCGGAGTGACGCCGTGGCTGTTTTCCTGCAGGGGCCACATTTCCTGCCACGTGAGTGATGGATGATGAGGAGGGCGGCCGCTGAGCAGAGGCCTTTTCTGTCTGTAGTTGGCCCACACCTGCAGAATGGTTTCTTTGAAAGGCCGCGTGGTCAGGGTGTACAGGATGGGGTTTAGCGCGCTGTTGATGGGCAGAATAAATACGACGACCCAGGAACTGATGGTACCTGTCGGAGCAGAGAGTGCAGAAGCATAATGAGTAAAAAAGAAATGAATATAAACTTGACACGGCATAAAACATTTTATTTAGATATTTTGACTCGCTCTTTTACACCGTGTGGAGACAAAGATTCCTCAATGTAAAAACCCTGGAGGTCGTCTCTCACTGGGCTGCAACTGTTGGAGATTAATTGGCGATTCAAACTTTACTTTAAAGACTTTGGAAAGCCTGCTGRTTTGCACAAAGATCTCATCAGTCCAGGATGTATTCTACATCAGAGGTTCTCAAACTGGGGTCCCAGGACCCCCAGGGGTCTGTGAGTCATGTCTTGGAGGGTCCTCAAAAAATTTCTAGAAATTGTTAATTTGGTTTTTATTTCAAAAAATGCATTTGGGAAATTATGCACTAGTAAAACAAACATACTAAACCAAACAAAAATACTATTACCATGGCATTTAGGGGTTAAAATAATGGTCATTTATTTTGTATTAACATCATGGGGTTTATTAAGGGGGATCCCTGGATTTTTTTTTACCCTTGTAAGGGGGCCCCAGACCCAAAAAGTTTGAGAWCCCCTGTTCTACATCATCAAGTATCACTGCTTTGCCCAGGTTCTTCACAGTCCCTTTTTGCACCAACTAAACCATTCTTAAACTCTAAAATAAAATGTTCTAAGTTACATCTGTAGTTTGACTCAACAAAGCATCAACACGTCTTTGTTTACGTTTAGGCAGTGGTGGGCAGCATTAACCAAGAAAATAGTTCCACTAGCCCTAAAACACTAACTCAAATATTTAGGTCCCCTAATTCTAAAGCACTAATAGGGGAAATAATTTCCTGATTAGTGCTTTAGGGCTTTTGCTAATTTGAAAATTTATTAATGGATTAGCACTTGCTAAATAAATAGGCTAAATTTAGAAGCACTAAATGAGGTTTATAAGTGTTATTGATCAATAGTGAATGTTGTCACACATTTTGTTTATGTGTCACTTAACCACTAGGTGACAATATACAGTATGAACC